GATTGCCCCTCAGGATCACCTGGGGAGGGGCGATCTGGGCCGGCAGCCGCCATTCACACCCACTGACAGCACCAAGCGATTGGCACCAGCACCAGGCCCCGACAGTGGGTATAAGCGCCAGGCAGGACCACAGCATGCAGGAGCAAAGAATTCTCAGTAACCACCAGAGGCTCGCCCCAATGACAGCAACCAGTGCCCCCGCTCACCTGCTCCACCATCCCTCCCATGGCCAATGCCCACCATGTCCCACGTGCACCCTCTGGTGGTCAGCACACGTCATAGTAACCAGTTGTTTGGTTGTCCCGCCATTTAGTCTATTTGCATATTAGGGCTTTATCTATATAGATTATATATAGAGAGATAATGATACAAAAAAGCAACTTGTGAAATATTTAAAAAATGCAGAAAGGTAGAAAAAAATTCACCAACAACATTTGTTGAAGGACGTAAAATAATAAATGGAATGAGACTTTTTGGGGTGTGGCACAATGTCCACTTCACACACACACCCTCCACTCCTGAGGTCAGGCAGTTCGAACTTGCCTGTATCCTGGGCATTTTGTGTGTGTTTTTTAATAAGGAGTAGAAGTTAGCTGACCTAAAAGCTACTGTCCACCAGGGGACAGCCTCATGAATGATAGGGTGCAGGGTATGGCTGCTGCAGCTTTTAGTTAGGAAGGTGTGGTTGGGTAGATGAGTCTGTAGCAGACTGATTTACTTAATCACATTAAAAGATTAAAAACCCATTTCAAGCCAATACCAAGAATTAGTCTAAATTGAAAACTTTCAACAGTCCCCATGAAAACCCAATCTCCTGCCGAGTCCCCATAGCTGTAAATTGACCTGTCGTGTCTGCATGTTCTAGGTCTGCCCTCCAATGACTCACCTGTGTGAGAAAATCATCTCCACGCTGCCATCCTGGAGGAAGCTCAATGGGCCCAACCAGCTGATGTCACTGCAGCAGTTTGTGTACGACGTGCAGGACCAGCTGAACCCCCTGGCCAGCGAGGAGGACCTCCGGGGCATCGCCCAGCAGCTCCACAGTGCCGGCGAGGTGAGGGCTCTGCAGCCGGGCAGGGCTCCAGGTGTCAGGGCAATTGAGTTTGGGGCTTTCCCTCTTCAGATCTGAAGGACAGGTATTAATTCTTTGAACACTTAGTGGAATTCACCTGTGAAGCCTTCTAGTCTTGGAATTTTATTAGTTGGGAGTTTTCTGATTACTGAATCAGGAAGAAGCAGAAAATATGAACAGACTGATTGCTAGAAACAACACTCAGTCTTGGAAGATTCTGTTTCTAGGAATTTATCCATTTCTTCTAGGTTGTCAAATTTGTCGGTGTATCATTGCTCATACTGTCCTCCTACAATCCTTTGTATTTCTGTGGTGTGGGTTGTCTCTTCTTTCCTTTTTGAATTAACTTAGGCCCTTTCTCTTATTTTTTTGATGAATCTGGCTAAAGGTTTATCTATTTTGTTTACCTGTTCAGAGAACCAGCTCTTAGTTTATTGATCTTTTCTATTATTTTTTTAGTCTCTATTTCATTTATTTCAGTTTGCTGGCTCATTCATCTGCATCAATTAATCTGTTGTTGATTCGCTTTAGTGGTTTTTTTTTTCATTTCAGTTACTGTGTTCTTTAGGTCTAATTGGTGTGTGTGTGTGATTTTAATAATATGTTTATTAATGCTGGGACATGAAGAAGCAAGAAGGGATTAGCATAGAAGAAGCAACAAGAGACCCTAGGCGGGGCTGCTTTGTTCTCTAGGAACATTATGGGAAAGAAATGAGCCAAGGCAGGGCTGCTGTTGGCTCAATGAAAAGTCAGAGAAAAGGGGGCCTTTGAGTCAGGTTCAGGGGACAAGCTGCTGGTCCCCATTGCACCTGGTTGCAAGTCGCTAGGGACCCTTAGAGTTTAGGGAAGAAAGTCACGGACATGCTCCCAGGAGGGCACTGATTGTTTTTTCCTGTCAGTTGAAGTTCTCACTGAGTTCATCTAGTCTTTTCCCAAGTTCATTGAGCAGCCTTATAGCCAGTGTTTCAAACTCTTTATCTGGTAGATTGCTTGTCTCCATTTCATTCAGTTCCTGGCTTTCATTTGGAACATATTTTTCTGTCTCCTCATTTTAGCTGTCTCTCAGCGTTTGTTTCTATGAATTAGGAGAAACAGCACAGCTGGTGTGGCCCAGTGTTTGAGCATCAACCTATAAACCAGGAGGTCACAGTTCACTTCCTGGTCAGGGGACATGCCCAGGTTGTGGACTTGATCCCCGGTAGGGAGCATGCAGGAGGCAGCCAATCAATGATTCTCTCTCATCATGGATGTTTCTCTCTCTCTCTCCCTCTAAAATAAAACAACAAACAAGATTTTGGCCTGTATTTCCTAAAGAGGACATTTTCCCACATAGCCACAATATACTTAATAATCCCATTCTGGACACATGTGCCAATAATTTCTTTTATAGCTGGTTTTACTTATTTATGTATTTATTTTGGAACAGAATCTAGTCAAAAATCACTCATTCCATAGCTGCCATCTCTCACATTTTATTCTGTTTTTTTAAGAGTCCACGGTCTTTTCAAAATTTCTCTTCTCAAGCTGGCTTTTGGCTTAGTAATTGATATTTGAGAGCCAGCCATACGAATGATGGAGGAGTCATTCCTTGCAACATCTGCTCAGATTCTGTCACTGCTCGGCCCGTTTGTTCTCTGAGCAGCTGGTGCCTGTTCATTTAGGTTCCTCTGTGTGACTTGTCGTTGTCTCCTCTGGCAGATCAACATCATGCAGAGTGAAACGGTCCAGGACGTGCTGCTCCTGGACCCCCGCTGGCTGTGCACCAACGTCCTGGGGAAGCTGCTCTCCGTGGAGACCCCGCGGGCCCTGCACCATTACCGGGGCCGCTACACCATGGAGGACATCCAGCGCCTGGTGCCCGACAGTGACGTGGAGGAGCTGCTGCAGATCCTCGATGCCATGGACATCTGTGCCCGGGACCTGAGCAGTGGGACCATGGTGGACATCCCCGCCCTGATCAAGACGGACAACCTGCACCGCTCCTGGACGGAGGAGGAGGACGAGGTGATGGTCTACGGCGGCGTGCGCATCGTCCCCGTGGAGCACCTCGCCCCCTTCCCGTGCGGCATCTTTCACAAAGTCCAGGTGAACCTGTGCCGGTGGATCCACCAACAGAGCGCGGAGGGAGACGCAGACATTCGCCTGTGGGTGAGCGGCTGCAAGATTGCCAACCGCGGGGCCGAGCTCCTGGTGCTCCTGGTCAACCACGGCCAGGGCATCGAGGTCCAGGTGCGCGGGCTGGAGACGGAAAAGGTCAAGTGCTGCCTCCTGCTGGACTCGGTGTGCAGTACGATCGAGAACGTCATGGCCACCACGCTGCCGGGGCTGCTGACGGTGAAGCATTACCTGAGCCCCCAGCAGCTGAGGGAGCATCACGAGCCCGTCATGATCTACCAGCCCCGGGACTTCTTCCGGGCGCAGGCCCTGAGGGAGACCTCGCTGACCAACACCATGGGCGGGTACAAGGAAAGCTTCAGCAGCATCATGTGCTTCGGCTGTCACGACATCTACGCACAGGCCAGCCTGGGGATGGACATCCACGCGTCAGATCTGAACCTCCTGACGCGGAGGAAACTTAGTCGCCTGCTGGACCCGCCCGATCCCATGGGGAAGGACTGGTGCCTTCTCGCCATGAACTTGGGCCTCCCTGACCTCGTGGCCAAGTATAACACCAACGACGGGGCTCCCAAGGAGTTCCTCCCGAGCCCAGTCCACGCGCTGCTCCGGGAGTGGACCGCCTACCCCGAGAGCACGGTCGGCACCCTCATGTCCAAACTGCGGGAGCTGGGGCGCCGAGACGCGGCAGACTTCCTACTGAAGGCGTCCTCTGTGTTCAAAATCCACCTCGATGGCAACGGCCAGGAGGCCTACGCCTCGAGCTGCAACAGTGGCACATCTTATAATTCCATTAGCTCGGTCGTGTCCAGGTGAGGGCAGCTTTGGCTTGGGCAGGGTGTCTTCAAACTGCAAAAGCAAGGGGGATGCAGCCATCTTTCCCACCAGAGATTCCAGATGCACCCCTTCCTATGCCCCCCTCCCTCCCGCTGCACCTATTTCTCTGCTACTCCCTCCCTCCTTCCCTCCCCGCTTCCTCCCTCTCACACATTCCATTGTGAGTGAACGGTCTGTTCTAGTTTAAGAGCTAATCATACCCGTTCGTTTGGCCATTTGAGAAGCTAGTGTCCCTCCTCTCCCTGTTCTGGACTCCATCTCAGCCTCTAGTACCTTGCTTCTGACTGATAATTTTACTGGAATCCCTAACTTTTCAATGGAAAAATTTTTAACGATTATATTGATTGTCCTTTAAATAAAAAGCGCACATTTATCCAAAATGTGCATTTCATACTCTTCTTTGTTATATTATCATGTCCTCAGCTTATCTTTTTTATATTTATAGGAAAACCCCTCATGTATGGACTCCCACTGTATGATTTATAAATAGACAATATGTGAGTGCCTTTTGCAGACGAGGGTGTGTTTGAAACCATCACGTCAGCCAGGAGCTGTCCGGAAGGAAACGCTCCCCTCTGCTCCTTGCTGTATGCTGATCATCGCCAGAGGTGCTTCACCCTCCGATTTGCGTTGGGTTTTCCCCCAGCAATTTTTGTGTTTTATTTGGCAAGGAGAGGGGGAAAAGGAATCCTCCTCTAGAGTGATTTCATGGCCAGTGTTGTTGCTACGATGACATGTATTCGTTAGCTTTTGTTTAAACGTCAATGTGAACGTCCACGTGGAATCGACAAACTGTGGCGCTTTATCATTCCCTCTCATCTCAGGTAGAAGGCTGACAGTTGTAGGGCTACGAAGATCTGTGTGAGAACGCAAAACCCCCGACTCACGGTTTGTGGCAGTCCGTTGTCATTTGTGCATAGCAGATGGTTTTCCACATTGAGATCCTGGTTTGATAACTTCCTGTACTTGAAATCTACAAAGGAAAATAAAGGAAGCAAGTTTCCTTGCAGTGACTTTCAATTGTGATAGAGTTTTAAATCCATATGGGGGAACATGTCCTAATTCTTCTGTCCTGAGAAGCATGTAATTTTAATGTTATATCGTGTGTGTGTGTGTATATATATATATATATGCAGTATGTATATACATATATATTAATACAAGTATTTTTACTTAATCTATGAGAAAGTAAAGAAGGTCATTTGTTTTTCTTTTTCTTGGTTTTTTTTTCTTTTTTTTTAAATAAACTATTGCTTGTTGCATTAGTTTGTCTTTAGTTGGTCTTTAATTCAAAAGGAATTCTTTTCCTTTGTTTTTACTTACCTATGCCGCATGTGGTGGGACAGACGAATCTATAATCCAGAAAGTCATGAAACCTAAACTCCCAGGTCTGGAAAACAACCCAGCTTAATTATGACTGCAATTAGGTATGGTGTGGGGAAGAACAAGAGCCCAGCTGATTTTCACATTTGTCCTCACTTTAAAGCACTGGTTCTCACCCTTGGCTGTACATTAGAATCACCTGGGAATCTTTTTAAAATCCTGATTTCTGGGCCTCATCCTCCGGAAATTCTGTTTCTTTGTTACTAATGTTGTGGCCCCACCCCATAACAAAGAAACAGAATTTCCGGAGGATGAGGCCCAGAAATCAGGATTTTAAAAAGATTCCCAGATGATTCTGATGTGCAGGCAAGGTTGAGAACCACTGCTTTAAAGGAAAGAGACTCCTTCCATTTTCCCTTGGGTGAACAAAAAAAAACAACAACACACACACAAGTGGGATCATTTAGACTCAGCAATGGGGAGACAACGGAAGCTTTCTGTTTCTATACAAACGAGAGGGACGGTGCCCTGCAAGAGCAAGAGGAAACCTGCTGGAAAAGATAACTTCCTGCCCTTCTTTCAATCTGGACCAACTAGAAACTTGGGTTCTGACCTGCACAGCAGCTGAGACACAGAAGCTCTACGTGACCAAAGCCTGTATTTAGTAAAATCTCATGATTGCTTTAAAAAAATGGGCAAAGAAAAAATATTGGAAGGAGGAAGACTAAACCGGTAACAATGGCCCTGGTTGGTTTGGTTCAGTGGCTAGAGTGCCAGCCCTCGGATTAAAGGGTCCTGGGCTCAATTCCAGTCAAGGGCACATACCTCGGTTGCAGGCTCGATCCCAATTCTGGGCCACTCGATGAGTGTCTCTCACATCAATGTTTCTCTCCATCTCTCCCGCTCTCTCTGTAAGTAAATAAATAATAAAAAGGTAACAATGATTGCCCAAATTATTCACAATAAACATGATTTACTTTTTTAAAAAAACATGATTTACTTTTATAATAAAAAAAGAATTAATGAAATTAAAATAACCTACACATAGGCATGCTTAGGAAAGATAACACAAATCGAAACTGTGGTTGCCTTAGGAGACTGGGACCACTTTTCTTGTGTCAACTCCCTCCTAATGCCAACTCCATTCTTTTCTACTTCAAGAGCACTTTACGCCCCAGGGATATAGTATCAGGCAGCCAGGACCCGGAGGCAAGAGGTTTGCCTCCGGCAGCATCAGTATGTAAAATCCGAGGAGCCCTGGCCAGTGCGGCTCAGGTGGTTGGAGCAGCATCCTGTACACCTAAAATCCCTGAGGATTCTGACCGGTGCAGCGTGGTTCACTGGGCCATCCCCCTGCAAAACATGGTGGTTGAATGAGATTGAGTTATATGACTGCGCTGGCCCAGGGACCCTGGGTGAACAGGAGAAAGGGGCAGGGGAAAATGCTGAGCAAGTAATCGCAAAGCACTGTACTGTACCAGTCTTTTTTCTTTTTTTTTTTTAATTTGAGAAGAAAGAAAAAGGGAAACATTGGTTTGTTCCACTTATTTATGCATCATTGGTTGATTCTCCTATGTGCCCCGGCCAGGATCGAACTCACAACCTTGGGGTATGAGGATGATGCTCTAACCAACTGAGCAACCAGGCCAGGGGTGGCTCACATAAGTTTTTATAAAAATTATCTACAGGTTTGGACATCTCCTATCTGCCCTGCATTTGTTACTTCTTCAGCCTTACAAATCCCCCAGTGGACTCTGCTCCCTGAGAGAACAACGGCATCTGCTCTGAGAACATCTGGAAGGTTTTCTCCATTCTGGTCAGAAACAGGACACCAGGGAGAGTCTCAAGAACAAGGACCCGTGGGCCCTAAGAAAGGGCAGCGTCCGCCTCCTAACAGTCCTTTCCCACAAGCCTGGTCCTCCCTCAGGGGTTACCCTGACACACAAGTTTGCGGGTTCAGCCCAAGAAGGCCGCTGTGAACCAAGGGACCCTAGAGAACGAGGAGCCTCCCCGTGAGACCCACGGCGTCTTGTGCTGGGTGCCCAGGGGGTGGCTCTTTTGCTCCAAAGAATCTTCTGTCACTGAGCCCCGCGCCCCAGGTCTAAGCACCGGCTGAAGGGCGCGGTTGCACCCAGGAGACTTACTGGTAATCTGGTCGCCCTGAGTTTAATTTTATCAAGAATCTACTTCCAGATTCTCCCAAGTTTGGAACATTGGCCCCAAGGAAGATGAATGGAGCTGTTCCTTCTGAGAGCGAGGGTTGAGCAGCGATAAAATCACTTCGAGGGAACCCATAGGCCACTTGATGTGTGGCTGGTTCAGTTTAGCTCAAGGACTCCTGGGCATAATTTTCATACCAAATAAGATTTGTAAGAATTCCAGATCACAGATCCAAAGAGATCTCTTTGTGTTCTCTCTCTCCCTCTCATACACGCAAGCATGCATGCAGTATCCCCTCCCACCCCGGCAACAATGGTTCCCCGACCTTAACCACAGCAGGAGAGACTGGGCTTCCTCTAAGAAGTGACATCATGAGCTGTCAGAGAAGCTGACCTTGAGCTAAAAACACTGGCCAGGCTCATACACAGGGGCTGAAACCTCATTAAATCTGGAAAACTAATGGCCTTAGACAAAGTACAGTGGGGCCTTGACTTACGAGTTTAATTCGTTCGGTGACGGAGCTCATAATTCAAATTACTCGTATGTCAAATCAATTTTCACCATTACAATGACACAAGATGCTGGGCTGCCATTCCAGACACCTCAAAAACGAAGTTTTGCAACATAAAAGCAAGCACAAATGCGAGCACAACACTGCTGCTTCAACTAAGAGCTAACCGCTTAAAGTGAACGAGTGAGACACGTGATGCTGGGCTGATGTTGTGGCATTCACTGAGACATTCGCTGCGCCAACTAGCGGTGCGGTATCTGAAGCTGGCTCGTAACACGAATTTTAGCTCCCAACTCAAAGCAAAAAATCGGCTGAGAGACGGCTCGTATCGTCATTAGTCGGGACACTCATAAGTCAAGGCCCCACTGTAT